TGGGAACCTGGATTTGTTTTCGAAGGATTTTAAGACCTTGAGTTTTGATGAGGGTTTTAAGACCTTTGATTGAGGTTCTTTGGGAACCTGAATTCGTTTTCGAAGGATTTTAAGACCTTGAGTTTTGTTAAGGGTTTTAAGACCTTAGATTGAGGTTCTTTGGGAACCTGAATTCGTTTTCGAAGGATTTTAAGACCTTAGATTGAAGTTCTTTGGGAACCTGAATTTGTTTTCGAAGGATTTTAAGACCTTTGAGGTTACTAAGGATTTTAGGACCTTAGGTTTAGGTTTGTGGAAACCTGAATTAGCTTGTTTAAAGGATTTTAAGACCTTTGAGGTTACTAAGGATTTTAAGACCTTTGCGGTTATTAAGGATTTTAAGACCTTTGAGGTTACTAAGGATTTTAAGACCTTAGGTTTAGGTTTATGGGGACCTGAATTAGTCTGAAGGATTTGAAGACCTTAGATTCAGGTCCACGGAGACCTGAATTCGTTCGAAGGATTTTAAGACCTTAGGTCCAGGTTCGTCGGGACCTAGATTCGTTTGAGGGATTTTAAGACCTTAAGTCCAGGTTCGCAGGGACCTGGATTTGTTTGGAGGATTTTAAGACCTTAGGTCCAGGTTCACGGGGACCTGGATTTGTTTGACTTCGAAGTGTAAGCTTGAGTCATGTACTGTGACTTTTTAAGTATGGGATTCATATGATCTTTCCGGAATCAGATCGCGGATCTTGTTAACAGCTGACCTCGTGACCTTAGAGGTCACAGTGATTTCGATTGTGATTGGTCGTGAGATTATCTGGAATGAGTTCCTGAATCTTCGAGATTAGATTAAGATCTTTAGGGATCTAAATTCTTTCTAAAGAGCTTTTAAGGCCATTAAGGGTAGATTTACGCAAATCTGGATTCGTTTGGAAGTTTTCAAGACTTCCGAATTTACTTAGGATTTTAAGTCCTTAGGTTCAGGTTCATAGGGACCTAATCTCGTTTGAGGGATTTTAAGACCTTAGGTCCAGGTTCGTGGAGACCTGAATTCGTTTGAAGGATTTTAAGACCTTATATGTTGCTGAAAACTCAAGATGTTTAACGTAATTGTTTCATTGATAACTTTTATAGAATACATCGCGTTGTGGCAATCATACAGTTGCTGTCTGGGCTATGTGTTTTTAAACATATGCCCCCATTGGCTATGGTGAAAAGAATGTCGAAACGAGGTCGGGGCTGCACTCATGACAGAGTTTCCTACGTACCCAGTCAAGGGATCAAGCCTAACGTAGTTCAGGGAATTAGGTACCTAATGATAGTATCTCTTGAGATTCATGGCGTTCCATGATCGGATTTCAGGTACCCAGGTTCGTACCTTCAGGAGCCTGTAAACGCCAGGTCGTACCATATGGATGATCCGATAAGGACCTTCCTAGTTGGTTCCTAATTTCCCAGCGCGCGGTTATTTGGTATGATTGAAAACTTTTCTAAGTACTAGGTCACCCGCAACGAATTGGCGGGACCTGACTTTGGAATTGTAATGTCGGGCCATTGCTTGTTGGTAGTTTTGAATGCGAAGCAAGGCTTGGTTTCGCCGTTCCTCGATTAAATCGAGGTTATCTAATAGGAGCTGATCATTGGCTTTGGGGTTAAATGCACAGAGTTCCCGGCGGAGGCTCCCGATGATGGTTTTGGCTGGGACGACAGCCTCCATCCCGTAGGCTAAGGAGAAAGGAGTT